TACTATCAATGGATTTCCTCGTAGATTTCATTTTCATCAATACCCTACTCAGATTTTGATCATCAAACAATTCATTAAAATTTACTCAAAACTTCTTGAAAATATAAGGAGAAATATGAGGAGAAATATGATATCTGAGATGTGTTGTGAAATAGAGTTTGGGTTACAAATACAAAGGTAGAGGTATTCAATGGGGATTATGAAATACATAAATCATTCATCATTAGATAATACCACAATTATTAATCATTCCTAAGATATAGTTCTACTTCTATGGAATTATTTTCAGAAAATGTATCTGATGTACTGCGGCAATAATGATAGAACATACCTACATTATTTATTCATAAACTTTTATAACGTAGGTATTATATTATCATAAACGCACTGCTAAACTTTTGGATTGACTATTTTTATATTTTAACGATTCTAAATCAAATAAGCATATTAGTTCAAGAAAGTAAACAAATGTGTCTGGTTTTTCTGTTATTTATAAATATAGGTAGATATGGTATAGGTATTTTATGTATTCTCAATCAATATAAATACTCAACCCGACTCGACCATATTCAACTAAATACAATGAAATGAAATGAGAGAAGAAATTAAATTGGAAATCTGGAAAACTCTCTGATCCTTCCATGACTCCCCAAATTCAATTTTTTCATTCTTATAGGCCTAGGTAGTCATTTTGCTTGACTGAATCAAATTCAGTATTAGGTGTCTATCAAAAGTTGTTCATACTTTCAATTGAATTTCACTTACCTAATTAATTTCATGAAATTGCCAAGTACGATTCTGATGATTTATGGAGCATAATAAACGGACCATAAACGATGCAGATATTTTGAAACATGAATGTAACACAGAGAGGATTGCGGATTACCCAAAAGACAATAAAATAAATGAATGGACTGACCTTCAGGGACTAATTTCCAAGTTGTTTTCTTTATAGAATCCTGAAGCCACCGCCCCGAAATAACACTCTAGGGCCTAAATCACTTGCACTCAACCGTCCAAAAAGTTCAACAGAGCACCGAAAGATGTCCACCAGTTGCCACCAACGCCAGCGTTCAAATGATTGTTTTTTAGCATCCAGCAGGCCACAGGCAACACGAGAACGCGATCGGGTGAGATCGGCCGCAGCCGAGCCGAAGACATTTATTCCTGCAGCGTTTCTGATTTTGTTTTGCCACCAAAAAAATTCCTGCTAATGCTGCTATACGGCGAAAATGCAACCGTTTAATGAGTATCGCGGTTCAAAAAGTTGAGTTATGCCATGGACATAAGTTATGCATATTGATGACAACAAACTTTTTTATCAGGCGGATATGTGATGAGATTCATGTATTTGTCCTTCCTTCATATAAAAACCTCACCGTGATGAAGGATATATTTATTTCTTTGATTTTTTTATTGTTAGGTATTTTATTCAATATTATTTATTATGAATGTATAGTTCTTTTCAAGATTTAAGAAACTGACCTTACCTGAGATGGGGTAATGACATGCGATAATAGTTATTTATGCAACAAGTGCAAAAAGTGAATGTTTATTGCACGAGTTGCATACAACATTTTTTCTACGTTCATGCAAAAAGCAAAAAATGATTTATTGAGGTCCGGCACTAGGTGTAGGAAAATGAAAAACGCAACATGAAAACTTTATTATTATTATCGATTTGCATTGAAACAGGAACTAATACGTTACGAACAATTCAACTCAAACTTTATTTTTACCCTCAATGTTGAAAGTGAATGAACAATTGGTGCAATTTTCAATATGAATATATATGATGTTTCTATAACCACAGTTGCAATATAAAAAATGTTTGTCATTCATTTTTAATCCATGAAATCATCATTTATTTCTTATTCTTCAAAATCTGGATCCCAAACTAATTGAAAAACTAGAGGACAAGTCCGTATTTGAGAAAAATTATTATTAAATGACTAAATTTAAATGCCCTGTGTGTAAGTGGATTATTATACCATTTGTTTAGCGCACTTCATTTGAAACAACAATTATGAAAATGAAGAACAAATCCCATTCCGAAAGAATCATAGCTTTCTTTCAAACAAAAAACAACGTTGCCACAAATCTACATTTCAAAGGTTATCCACGTCTGATCAATCTTTTTCTGTAACCGTTGAAAACTGGAGAAACTGTACTGAACACGTTAAAGAATTGAAAACTCATCGTTCTATGTATATAAATATCCTAGAATCTATAAGAGGGATTGTTATTGATTTGGAAGATAGTAGAGTAATAGCGAAATTGATTTAAAGTGAGATATACCTAGTGTGTTTTATTTCGTTCTTTAATGTTAGTAATATCTTCTCCTTAACCACCCTGTATCTCTTGAACCATCAATATTTTTATAAGGCATGTTGGGATAAATCTTTATATTTGGGGAACTATCTGTAGAAGAGCGAATAACACAAAAACCGTTGAAGTTAGACAATTTGATGAAAAGTACAATTTTCATGTGAAATTGATCGAGCTTTCAGATTTGTCTCTTATTCTGATCATCAATGAATTGACATAGAAGATATGATGCAAATTATCGCAGTAACAGAGTGCCACTAGCACCCTCTATGAGCAATCACAAGATAAGTTCGAAATTCATATTCCTCATGTCAGAAAACCTATAAATATAAGATTTTATGTTCATGCTGTTGAAACTAACAAAGTTATTGTGACATTTTGAAATAAAATCTCCTCCTAGAATAGCCTCTATCTCCTGAATCAGCAACATTCCCATCAGGCATATTGGACTGAATCTCATCATTTTTGTGTTTACTATCTGTAGTTCAGAGATTTCCCATTTTTAATGAATCACCCTGTATATGTACAAAGTTATAAGGAATAATGTTGAGCTGACAACTATATGTCTTACAGAGGATTTCGCGCAGAATCCAGTATCAAACTCAATTTTTTTCCGGGTTTGGTTTTGGAGATACGACACAATTCTCAACACCCTGTATTTCATTATTTCGACGAATTTGTTATTTTTTTTTCTTCAAAATGATATACAGCAAGGTGTCCCTGAAAGGTCTGTTCAAAATCTCAGCATATATTCCTGAGTTCAGAATAAGCCGATTCAAAGCAACTTACCTCAGTCCAAAATTGCTCCATTCTGAGATACAGGGTGGTAAATTTAAAAAATAAAAATGTGGCCTTGTGACGGCACTTACCAATGCACTTCTTATGATTTAGAATGACCATAACGTGCCATAACTTTTTTCTCAGTGTTGATTTTCACTTCATTTGTTGAGTGAATGATTTTCTGAATATTTTCAAGCAGCAAAAAAGGCATATTTGTTAAAATTCGCTAAAGTAAGCCGTTTTCAAGATATTTTGGTATTGTGTGATCGATGCCGCACCGGAATATTTGAAGTTTGCTGTTATCTTCTTCGAGATCTTCTTGGATGTAATTAGGACAATGAATGAGCAGTGCGAAAATGGAGTTTTCAAAATATTTTTTTGGTAAGTACTTGTCGATTTTCATTTTATGAATCCACCACCGTTTATCTCGGAAACGGGGTAATTTCGGACTGAGGTAAGTTGATTCGAATCGGCTTATTTTGACCTCGGGAATATGTGCTTAAATTTTGTATACCTAGATCTTTTTCAGGGACACCCTGTATAATACTTCATACACTGCCATCTTTTGGTCCCTGTGCCCCATTAGTTATGATTCACCCTGTATAATCAATGACTTTTGCAGTGTGACCAGATGTTCAGTCATAATAATAAGAAGTTGGGGTATGGTGTGTGTTAAATATTCGCTCTGATATTCGTAATTCACCTACCCGGTGATTGAATACTTCGTATGAAGTATGAAATATGGGTCAGAATAGGTACACGTGTCTAGCTATAGCGAGGAAGGAAAATATCCTTTCTGCATAAGAAAGGAGACTACTTTTTCTGAACATTCTAACCTTGCTCGGCCTAAATGAACCTCCTCCCTAGGAAATATATTTTTCTGAGGCCATATTCCGAATTCAACTGACAGTACTGAATCTGCTGAATTTTCATTCCGAAATCAAAAAAATTGACTGAAAGTGACAGATACTCGTGAGCAGATATACTATTCATTCCAAATATTTCGACTCAACATTCTGCTGAAATTGCTGACTATCAAAAGGTAGTGTGGCTTCAGTGAACTGTCATTATTTTTGAGGGGAAAGGAATAACACATTCATTTCCGTTGTTTTCCAAACATTAAGTCTTGGCTCATCAATAATACATTAATAATATCATTTTGATATCAGAAAATGCCTGTTATTTATTTAGCTCAAGAAGGAGCATCTGCCAGATCAATGACAACTGACAAATTTCACCAGCTGATCAACTGCTGCTGATTACTGATGAAAACGTGTTCCGAATTACAGCACTGTATTTTTGATTTTATATTTCGGAACACAGCTTTTCAGCAGAGTCAGTAGATCTACTGACAGTACTGACCAGTTGAATTCGGAATATAGCCTGAATATCACTTGAGAGAGCAAAAAAGACTATACTTTTTCAAAACAATCTAACCTAACTCGGACTAAATAAACCTTTTTCCTAAAAAGTATACTTTTCAGGAAATTACGCATCAAGCACAGTATGTTCGGATACTGTGGGAATATGGAAATGTGGGGCTAACGAAATGTGGGCCTATCGAGATGTTATGTGTAACGCAATGTAGGCATAACGAAATGTGGGAATAAAGCAATAATGTGGGTGTAACGCAATGTGTCGATAGGCCTACAATGCCAGCTTCATAGAATTCTGGTATATAGGAGACTGTGGGTGTATCGAAATGTGGGGCTAACGAAATGTGGGCATATCGAAATGTGGGAACAACGCGACGTTGTAACGTAACGACGAGTAACGAAAAGTGGATGTAACGACACGCTCCCATTTCATTCACCGGATCAATTCCGGAAAGCATCCAGATAGCTATGGAAATTCTTCTGCGCACAATCTGCGGCATCGATTAGATAACTCTGATAAAGTCGGTGATTTTCACACGGACATTTTGTACATTTTATACAAAACTAATAATCGAAATGATATTCCTAGTTTTCAATTATTTGTTATTTTTCAACCCAATGTTGTATGTTTTTAGTGAAGGTTTTCCAGAAAACGTAAGAAACAAGCGCAGCGATATCGATTTGCAAGGTTGCTTGGATAATTTCAATGTGCATAAGGATAAAATAATTAGGACCCAAGATTCCCAAAACATGGGGGCAAAATATCTGAATGAAATTGATCTAGGATCCAGAGAAGAATGCCTACATCTATGTTGTGAGACTGATAACTGTGATGTTTTTGTTTTTGAAGAAAAGGTGAGTTATTTCCATTTCATCTATCCCAGATGTTTTACTAAAAAAAAACATTCCTATTTCGGGTGACTAACAGAGAATTGGGCCACCCCTGTATCTTTTGAGTGGTTTGAGATAAGATTTCGAATTTATCAGCTTTGAGAACGTCACATTTCGCATTTATTGATGCTAGTTTGTTCGTTGAATCTCTTCCGGTTTCACCGGAAGTGCGAACTCAACTTTTTGATGTGGATAGGATTTTGATAAGGAAGATTGTTCATACGGTAGCATCATTTTTGGGGTGATATTTCAGAAGATTTGATTCAATTATCTTCTCCACTCCCTGGAAAATCATCATTATACAGGGTGTTTCAATAATATTCCACAAAACTTCGAGGTCATATTTTTGGGTCAAAATAAGAAAAAAGTTCACATAAACATGAATGTTCAAAAACGATTCGTTTCCGAGATACAGGGTGCTCAAGTGCATAATTTAATTGAAAAAAATCAAAATGATTCTTACAACACATATTACGTAATATACTAATAATGCATGAAGATCCCGGGAGGATTCTTTCATGTATCATTTTTTAACATCAAAATATACACTCAGTTCCAAAAAAAGTGACGCACTTGATATTTGACTCATCTTCTTAAAAAAAAACAAAAAATAGTAGGCCGATTTTATTTTTTTTTATTTGTTGGTAGGTAATGCATTTGTCTTTGAAAAAAAATGAAGAGGTGAAAATGTTTTCAAAGCCTCCTTGATGGTGGTGGAATAACTCGAACCATGATTCATTCTTAATTTTTGACTCACCCTGTGTGTTAATTGGGTAATGGCATAGAAAGTGCTTACACCCTATGCGAAAGAGGCTCCTTTTGCGAGCATTTTGTTTTCTTATTCATTGATTTATCTCTAAAATTTTCCGAATTACAGATTTTTTTGCAGATTACCAACTTTCTGAATTTATCGAGAAACAATTTTCTAATGAAATGAACTGATACCAATAATTTTAAAAACATTTTTGTTGAACACAAAATTATAAATTGGGATGACTGCTTAATACCGTGTTTTGGCTCCTCTAGCAACTAGAACTTCTAATCTACGAGGCATACTGGACATTAAGTTGCTTATCGTTTCCTTTGGTATACGATCCCATTCTTCCACTAATGCATCTGCCATTTCTGCGAGACTTTCTGGAGACCTCTCGCGAGAACGTACCCTTCTCCCTAATTCATCCCACAAATGTTCTATAGGATTCATATCGGGGCTTCTCGCAGGCCATTGTAATATGTGGTAATACCAGTAGCTTCTAAGAAGTTTCGCACTATTGCTGCGGTGTGTGGTCGGGCATTATCCTGCATCAATATAAAATTATTGCCCACTAACTCTGCATAAGGTAAGACATACAGCTCTAAAATGTCAATGTAAATTTGGGCATTCATCGACTGCCTCACCGGAAAAACATGAAGGGGTGTCTTTCCATTCATTGAAATCCCTCCCCACACCATAACGGACCCACCATTAAAACTTTCGAATTCTGTTATTAAATTTTGATTAAACCGTTCACCAGTTCTTCTCCACAGTCTTTTTCTTCCATCCACCATGTTGAGGCAAAACCTTGACTCATCCGTAAACAAGATATTCGACCATTGAGGAATATTCCACTGTCCATAATTTTCAACAAAATTTCTTCTAGCAGCACGATGTTCGGGCAATAATTTGGGACCTTTTGCAGGTCTCCTAGCTTTTAAATTAACTTCTTTTAGACGTCTACATACCGTCTGCTTATTTACTGCAACATCACGAATTTGGCGTAGATCTTGCTGAACATTTACCGCAGTATTTGATCGATTCCGTAAAATCCGCAATTTCAAGAAGCGATCATCTCTTGGAGAAGTTTTTCTGGGGCGACCAGAACCGAACCTCCGAGCGTACTTGCGGATTGCTCTACGAGCAGTTGCTTCATGAACTCCCACTGCACGAGCGGCGTAACGTTTACTACGCCCATCGTTTACTAACGCAACTAATCTTGCTACTTGTTCAGGATTCATTCGAGACATTTTATGTGATTTTAGTCAATAAAACAATACACTTAATTAATGACACAACGACAAATGGTCAAATATGGAGGCATACAACAAATTAGTTGCTATGGCAAGGGCATTTGATTTTCTAAAGACAATGTGATCCTACCAGAGTACAACCCAATCAATTTTGAGTACTCTGGTAATAAATTTAATTTGTGGGATAAGCGTAAGGTATCAGCAAAAAAGCTGTAATTCGGAAAATTTTAGAGATAAATCAATGAATGAAAAAACAAAACGCTCGCAAAAGAAGCCTCTTTCGTATAGGGTGTAAGCACTTCGTATACCATTACTCAATTAACACACAGGGTGAGTCAAAAATTAAGAATAAATCACGGTTCGAGTTATTCCACCACCATCAAGGAGGCTTTGAAAAAACTTTCACCTATTTATTTTTTATTAAAGACAAATGCATTACCTACCAACAAATTGAAAAAAAAAATCGGCCTATTTTTTTTAAAGAAAATAGGTCAAATATCAAGTGCGTCACTTTCTTTGGAACTGAGTGTAAGTAATAAAGTTGGACAAGTTGATGATCAATGTTAGTTTAGTGAGGTTTGTGAAGTTTTCACAACTATATTTCTAGTTTGTTACTCCAGTTCCAGAGCTGCATTGACATTTGTTTGGTCCATTTAGTGTGTGTACAGAGTGATATAGTATATGTGCCATTGTTGTCTGCCATCAGATGAATTTTTTGTTTTCAGAATTCTGGTAGCTGTTATTTGTTCCATTGTGGGCCTCCAGAAGACTTCAAGTGTAAGTTCACGCATCACGTGAACTACTCCAGCGGTGTACTCTCGGTCAATAGACATTTACCAGATTTGGAAAGCCAGATCAAGCTCACCAAGCACGAACAAGATTTAACAAAACTTAGGTAATCAATAAGGTGGAATGGCAAGAACACAAATGCGTGAATTCAATATGAATGTGCATATAACTGAAATACAGTATGACCAAGTTAAGGTTGCACAACATATGGGGCATATGGGGATCTCGGAAACGGCCAACGACCTTCAAATATCTCCAAAATTGTTTATAGTTTTCCAGTTAAATCGAAGAAAGTGAATTTTTGGAAAATCTGTTTGATTGTGACATTGATTCAATGGAGTCCTGCGTGATTATGTGTTCACAGATTCTGATAGCCTTTTTTTATCCTGTATTCGTCCATTCCATGTATTACTCAAAGTGGTTTGAATGTTTTTTGAAATTCCAAAGAGCAAATACCGTCAGTTCCACTTATTTCTGAACATTCAGTGTCAAACTTGATAGAGTATTCATTTAATACTGAAAAAAAGTTGGCGATCTGGTTCTATTTTATAGATATTTTCATGGACGATACTCTTCTGAAATATCAACAATTGTACCTCCCTCGGCAGTTCCCGCGAGATTAACCCGTCGAGTTGAGGCTTCGCACCCCTTCGTGGTCACTTTGGAGACCTGCAGAACATCTCTTTCCAAAGACTCCTTCATCCAACGAACAGCGAGGCTCTGGAACACATTACCAAGAGAGGTGTTCCCCGAGGCATATAACCTCCAGAAATTTAAGAAGAACATCAATTCCTATAATGGATTCATATACGAATTACCTCCATAACTAAATGTAATCTACAGTCTCTTGGCCGGCGCCATCACCTGATTGGATACCGAAAAAGAACTAATTAGGGACGAAGCGTTCAATAACATTAAAAATGCTTTGAAATGTCTTAGAAGCTACTGTAAGAAGAGTAGGTATATCTTCGTTTAGAAAATAATGGTTATAATTTTGAACGTTTGTTATGAATGATATTTTTTTCGATGCCTGTTCGTGTTGGTGTAAGAATCCTTTGACATGGAACTGGAGAGCTGCATTGAATAAGTTAGTGAAATTTTAGTTTATATTCCAGTATTCAATAACTACAAACGTTAACATCGAATGATCAGAAATGAGTGGAACTGGTGGTACTGTCATGGCCACCATTTGGTCATGTTTTGCGATACGTCGATAAATGGTGACGTCAGCTTTTATGATGTTTCGTTATTGCTCAGATTATCTTCCATTGCCACTCATCAAGCAAGGTTGTCAAGTCAGCAATTATAATCAAATTATGGGTATATAAAAGTTATTATGGAGTCCTCTCGTTGAATAAAACATAATTAATTGGAGGAAGACATGATATTATAGTTCATTTCCTAATACTTCATAACAAAATATCATGTAAATGTTTGAGACCTAGCAACATGTACCGAATGCTGAGAACTGACAAGACAACGCCCACAATTCGTGCGCCGTGTTCTCACATTTACCGGTTCAAATGATCTCTAGTGTGAATCAATATAAAATTATTATTTACACAAATTTATTATAAGCAATAAGGCACAACAAATGAAGGAAAATTCTGAGACAATGGATATTTTATTGCTTATTAGGAATATCACCAATACATAATGGAGAATTTATGAATTATTGATCATTTTTTATTTGCGGTAAATTTCTAGCCGTTTGAAAATTACCGTGGCATTATATGGATGATTTTAGCACCTTGAAATCGACCGAAAAATTCTAAAAAAATATGGAATTGTAATGTATTTGAGTGATGATTCTATTTAGGATTAAAAATTAGTCCACTGGCAGATTGAATATCTCATATGACTGTGACAGCGCAAATGATGAATATTCTGAATATGTTTTCTGTTGATTTGTGAGCGGAATATGTATAGCTTTAGATATAATATGTCAATTAGAACTGTTATGGGCAATTTACTTTCCTTTCGTACTTATTTTTCTTTTTTTTTTAGGAACGCAGATATGGACTCCGCGGTATTGAAGCCCATTGTTCATGAGCAAAAAACAACATCGACAACTACCATTGCAACTTCATCCAAGGAGTTTGTTCCTCTTCCCAAACACGATGCTATGGTGACAGGTAAATTTTTGGAGTTTTCTTCTAGGGTTCACTCGTTTTTTTTTTAATTTACTCGGCCGTTACTTGTAAATGTAAAAAAAAACTTTACAAACGAAAAGATCTCCACAAAATTCCGAAGGAGCTACTGTGTTAGCAAAAAATGTCTTGTATCACTAGAGGTTGTTTATATCAATTATCTATGGGACGTTGATTTTTTTAAAAACACATTTTTCGGATGACAATGGGTGAGTGGACTGATATTATTATATTATATATTATTCAATGGTGAAGATGGAAAGCCCTTGATTTCGAGTGACAATGGAAAATGAAAGATACAAAGAGTTGAAAGTACAAAATATCTTGGCTTAGTTGTAGACGACAAAATGAATTGGAGTAAACATATTGACCACATTAAAAATAAAGTAGTACCGATGATCGGAGCGATCTATCGATGTAGAGACTATCTTGATCACAAACTATATACTCAAATCTATAATGCATACTTTTTATCTATTTTCAGATACTTGATTCCCTTATGGGGTGCTTGTGGACGTACACTATTTGAGAAAGCAGAAAAACTACAAAATAAAATTGTAAAAGTTTTATTCAATATCGAATTCAGAACACCAACAAAACAGGTTTATGATGAATCTGGCATTTTACCAATCTCAGAAATATTGAAAATTGAACAGAGTAAATTCATATACAAAGTTTGCAAATCTGAACAGAAGTGTAATTCACGAATTAAATTAAACCATGAAGTCCACCATTCCTATGAGACAAGGAACCAAAGAAATATATACATCGAGCCCACAAGAACGAACAGCGCTTTAAATAACCCTCTCAATAAATGTATTGATTGTGTGAACTATTTGAATAAAGCCTTGAAAAAAAAATGAAAAAACTCCACCGCCCCGTATGAGAGTCGAACTCACAACCACTGGGTTACATGCCCAACGCTCTGCCAATTGAGCTAACGGGACATCCGTTGATCAATCGGCAGGGAGGTCGAGTTCTCATCACACACTAGGCGGCAGAATCCTTCCAATTCCCGAAGTCACCCGAAATCATGTCGCTGCTCCAGAATAATAATGACGCAAATGCAAAAAAGTTAATTTCACAGGAGAAGGAAAAAACAAATTCAAAATATCAATTTTTCGAAATAGGCGATTTATAATATGAGTTTGAACCTTCGATATATTGGGAGTATACCCTCATACTTCAATGTAGTATGTTCAAAGAGACGATATTTTGAAATTTGATATGGATGTTTGAAGTTATGTCTTTATTCATGCTGAAAGGAAAAACATCTTAGTCAATTGTGTCAACACTTTTAATGATTTCCTTGCTTTTAAAATTGAAAACCGATGAAGGATCTCATTGATGTCAACTCCAGATGATATTTTCTGTTACTCATGAGCAATGGTATGAACTAGAATCCTCTAAAATTCAATGGACAAAGATGTATAGAGAGTTTTTCGAATCATTTACTCCAAGGAAAATAATTCCAAAAGGATGAATTGCACTGTAGGAGCTGAAAATTTGTAATTCGAAAATGATATTCGTTTCAACCAGAGATTTACAACACTTTGATGTCAGAGATTCAAGTTTGAGGGTGAGTGTATAATCTCAGAACGTCTTCTTCATTTGACGGCTCTGAACTTACATATACTTGAACAGCTTTTCATTTCAAAAATCTTCGCGCCTAATTTTCAGTTACAACAGTGGAAACTGAAAATGTTTTATCTGCATGTCTAATTTAAAGCTGCAATTGTGAATTAGGAATAATAAAAAACAAATAAGAGATCTATAAATTATGCAGATATTGTGCAAAAAATTCGTTTTAGGATACCAGTTACAGAGATGTCTCTGAAATTAATTGAGAATGTCAATATCTTATTCATCTTTTCCATCGATATTATGAATCAGTTTGGATTTTAAATGTGAAGATTTGAACAGAAAATTTATAATAATCTACAAGAATGACCAATTACTATGAAAAAGTTACAATTCCATTCATAATTTGTTTTATTGTTATTTTTATGTCATTCAGAATCTAAATAATCCGATGTAATATAGCCTGAAAGTGCAATTACGATTAGAACCAGATAATATTTGAGAGGAGAAAATGACTCATGGGATAGTTATGTCATTATTTTTTTTTCAATTGAGAAATAAACAATGACTCAAAACACACACATAAGTCGATATTTCTCCAACATAATGTACTAAACATCAGATCTAATACCCTCAAGATACATTTACGGCGTTTTTGTACTGGAAAAAAATAACTTGCGTCAACTTTTTATAGAAAACTTCTCACAACTGACCCTTGCGACAGTTTTCTTCCAGTGAAATAGTGCCAATTGATACAAATTCGATAACGATGTAACTTACATCAAGGGGCCAGATATTTTACTACAATTCTGACGATTTTTTTACATATAGAGTGAACTTTTCTCTACCTGCTGATGGGCATAACTCATTTTTCCAAAAAATTGCAGTTACGTCATTATTATTCTGAAACGGCGATGTACTATACGAAGCATCGCTGGCAGGAAAGCGCTTACTTTCACTTTCCGACGACATTACATTGTACCTATTGCATGAAACAAACTCCTGGAGTTGCCCGACTCTACATGGCTTACATTTCCATGCTAAAAATCGGGTAACTCCTGGAGTTGCCCGACTCTTGCACCTCAATGGCTCATCTTAATAGGACATTGTTGGATTCGCTTGATTGTTGCACCAAAAGATGCGCAAGAAAAAATGCTATATGTTGAATACAATAACCCAATTTCGGCATAAAATGGAGTTGCCCGGTTCTTGCACCGAGGTCTTCAATTACTACTTCTCTTCACTGAGGCAACTTTCCTCTATACCAATAATAACGATTTCTACCAACCTTGGGTGAGTTGGGTGTTAACATTTATTCAAAAATCGTTTGTAATCAATATTTGAAAAACAATCTGACATCTTGATGGGACATATTTTGAGTCTAATTCGGTTATTTCACAGAGTCAGATTTCTACATAAAAAATAGCACGGTAGGTAGTAGATTGGTAGTTTTTTAATAAACTCTTTATTGTTTTTGAATGAAATAACTCAATAACAGTTATTTTGGCTCCTGAGTTTCTCATATGCAGAATGCGACGAACGTTCTAAGAATTTCATGTATAGTACAACAAGAAGGAAGTTTCAATACACTTATTTGTTTTTCAAATGCGTACTAATCTCTTCATAATGAGGCAAATAAATTCACAGTGTATTAAAAGTAGGCAGTTTATATACCTGGTGACATAAATTCATTCTTTCCTTTGTTTTTTTAGCAATATTTCTGAAATTTGCAATGTCGAATATGCTCACTAGAGGGTACTTTCTCACAGTTTAGGAATTGTTTCTCATCTTCCGATTTTTCTGGAAATGACATCAACCTTCGATTTTCAAATGGAACACCCTGTATTTTATTCCATAATCAGTTAGGGAATATCATAACGAATTCAACGATATCGAATTCAATAGGGTTATCATTTCAAACGATTTCGAAGATATTTGCGCTCGAAGTTTCAATATGCTTGCTCAATGGGTGTAACGGCGCAATATTGAAAACTTCTTTCTTTGTCACTCTCATTGAGCATATACAGTGTGACCCACTTCTAATGGAAACACCCCTGTATCTTACTTAATCGTTGGGTGAGGATCCTGAAATTTGCTGGAGCGACAGATATACCAGAAATGCACTTTATGACCAGATAGGGTCATCTTCATTGATATACACTGCTCGCCAACAGCCATGGAACCACCCCAATTTCCGGAAAATGATATTAGGAGTCGAATAGATAGATTGAAAATCACTTTGGATTCGGAATCAGGACGCTCAATTCACTAACTATTCATAGTTTTCCTAGAAAATTTTCAGTTCAGAAAAATTAAATTTTGTCGCACTTCTCATGGAAGCACACCCCTATCTCACGTAATTATTGAGGTGGGGTTCTGAAATTTGCAGGAGGAAGGGAATGTCCAAGGATAAAGTCAATTACGTAAGATACGGGGGTGCTTCCGTAAAAAGTGTGACAAAATTTGATTTTTCAGAACTGAAAATTTTCAAGGAAAAATATGAATAGTTAGTGAATTGGGCCCTGATTCCGAATCTGAAGTGATTTTCGACCTATTTTGACTCCTTATATCATTTTCCGGAAATTGGGGTGGTTCCATGGCTGTTGACGAGCAGTGTATATCACTGAAGCTGACACCACTTGGTCATAGAGTGCATTTTTGGTATATCTCTCGCTCCAGCAAATTTCAGGATCATTACCCAACGATTACGTAAGATACAGGGGTGTTTCCATTAGAAGTGGGTCACACTGTAGCAATTTTGAACGCGAATATCTTCATAAGCGTTTGAAATAACCCAAACAAACCCGGTATTGCCGAATATACAGGGTGTCCTATTTGAAAATCGAAAGTTGATGTCATTTCCAGGAAAACCGGAAGATGAAAAAAATAACTAAAATGTGAGAAAGTGCCCTCAAGTGATCATACTCGATGTTTCAAATTTCAGGAATATAGCTAGAAAAACAAAGGATAAAAGGACGGTATACCGTTGAAAAGAACGCTGGCGAATTTGTGCTTATCAGAAGAAAATATTAAACAAAGGAATATACCTACACACAGGTTCTGGCTATGAATTTTTTTAGATGCATCGCACCATGACTGCTTGTTTTGGACTACTAATTTTAATGCTTCAGAATTTCACGCTTCCAATGGCTAACTTCCGTGAAAATTTAAATGTTTTGCATTTTTAGATATGCGCCGTCAACTATAGGCGATTTTACTATTTTTATAATAGTGACTATACAAAGTCGAGGAAATTATTTTCATTGTGGCACAATCATAGTATCATGAAAATCATTGATTCGGGAGACCGTAATTTTCAACACAGAGTATTCCTTTTCAAGTAAAAATTTCGATACTATCGACAGTTTTATGATTTTTTTTCAAGGACCCCGCACGAAAACACG